GGTGGTCGAGTGGATCATGTTGTGCGGGGTGGAGAAGCCTCACTCCGTGCAAGGGGGATGATCGCACCACGTTCTGTTAAGTGGTCAAGCACCCTCGACGCAGATACATAGTGCTTACAACTGTCTCTGGAAATGAAAGCACCAGAAAGTAAATTAAGTCATACGCAGCTGTCATCCGTACGCAAGGAAGTAAGCACAAGATGCCGAACACCCTTAGCAGGATGCAGCGCACCCTTCATGCGACTCGCCGAATATCTCACGGCGCTTCGCGCTTGGTGATGTGAGAGCCTGGTCCGGTGAGAACCCGGCGTGCTCCGTCCCGGCTTTGTAGGGATGCGAGGTCAATGGTCTAACGACTACGGCATGCACGACTATGAGTACACCCCCCCCCCACCTTCCTGGCATTGGTATCAACATCTACAGCTCTCATTGTCAACCCGCTGCATAGATTGGATGGGGTGGTCGCCAACAAACATATATATGGGGTGCACGTAAAAACAAGAACGAATAATAACTGCAACCGCCAAATGCAGTGGAATAAGGCCGACGAACATATATATGCGCACGCGCGTTAAATAAGAATACAATAACTGCTGTAACCATCAAACGCGACGGAATTAGCACACTCCAAGGTGCAGGTGACAGAGGAGGTGTGCACCTAACCTCTCGTTGGCAGGCTAGTCCCTGGCGAATCCCGTTGTTGAGTGGAAATCACGGGAAGGGACTAATTCACACGTCGGCGTTGTTGTACAACAATGGAGGATGCAGGAATGGATGGCTGTGTTGCGGCGAATTAAAGAAAGACATCAATCATCAAGTTGTCAAAGTGTGTATTATGCGAAATGCGGCGGAACATACTCTCGCGTCGGAAGTTGCAGCGGTGTGGCCCGAACCTCTCATTGGCAGGCTAAATGGTAGACGCACAGTCATTCCAGCGTAGAACGGGCTGTGCATCCTGTTGTGCATCGATCGAGGCTTTAATTTGATGGCGGGTGGGCACAATTTAGGCACAAATTCGTCGAGATCGGAGCAATTTGGTGCCGGAAGCACCTGCTGCATGCTCGTGTTTCGTGCTCGAGAAGGCCGATCACCGACACAGCCAAACATTAACGCAGGAGGCGTCTATCAAGCTGAAACTTGCTGAGGGCGTCCAAAGTAGTGCAGGAAGGCCGATGGTCTGATTCCTCGCGCCTCGGGCGTTCAGGTCAGAAAAGTGCATGGGTCGGAGCTTCGGACTGAACGTGATTATTCATTCATTCATTCATTTTTTTTACCGTTCTGTGAGACCTCTAGAGACCGTAGCGGTCTCCTAGAGGAACGAACCACCACCTTGACCTGTATTCCCCACAGCTTCCGGCATGTATTTCTGGGTGTTGGATTGCATGGCAATGACAACTTCTTCTCTAGTTCCACCGTCACGTCGCCAATATTGTCGTCGGGGTAGAGTCTCCTGGTCTGGCTCTTCTTGCACATATCGGTTGGAATGTGCACCCTTTCCATACAACACGCTCTACGGCACTACTGCCAATCGAAAGGCGGTGTCTTACAGCGCCACATGCCGACCACAAACATTTTGTACGAAGGACCCCAACGTTCCCAGGTAAGTGGAGCATGGCATTCCGGGCAGCACAACAACGACGATTTCTGGAGTTCGAGGAGGATCGATCGTAGATAGACGCGGCCACCATGTCCAGTGCCGTACTTAGCGCCCATACCAAAACCTCCATGGCATCAGCACCCATGACCCTATGTAACCCATCATGCCTCCACCCATATTATT